TATATATATATATATATATATAGCATAGGATCGTGTGATAAGAAGATTTAAGGTGAGAAGCGTAAAAAAAGATCTGGACCTTTGATCACTTTTACTCTCAAACCGAACCATGAATTGCACTTGATACTAGGATTGATCATTTGCATCTCGGTGCATCTCATCCTAAAAATGTATCCAACGGTGGAGATCCCGTCTAACGTTCTCACTTTAATTCTCCTTTTCACCGGAAACCCAACCCTATATATATATATATATATATATATATATATGTGTGTGTGTGTGTGTGTATATATATATACATACATACACACACACATCCTTATCCAACGAATCAAAACATAAGGTAATGATAAATTGCATGAAAACTTAATGTACTTTAACTTGATTTTTATTTTGGGTAACATACTTGTAAAACTTTCATTTTGATACCTAATATGTAAAGTTTTAAATATTTAAGTACCCGTATAACCGGTTGAAGCATTAACTCTTTATTATAATAAACCATAATACATAAAAACTAGTTTTAGATTAAGATATCCATGTCAACAAATAATAATGAGTTGAATACCACATCATTCGTCACATCAACATGGTAATTGGTTAATGCTTTAACCGGTTACCCGGGTACTTAAATGTTTAAAACTTTTCATCTTAAATACCAAAATAGAAGTTCTGAAAGTACGTTACCCGAAATATGAATCAAGTTAAAGTACGTTATTTTTTCATGCAATTTGTTTTTTATTAAACTTTACTTTTTTGAACATTATGGTTAGTGAAAATACTTAAATTTCAAGTTTATAAATAATTATTTATATTTATAAAATTTTAAGGTTATTGTACCTCCATAAAGTTAATTAAAAAACAATCAAAAAATAAGTTCTGATAAAGGATAGTTATTGAATGATACCAATACAACAAATAACTCATTATTTTTATTCAAAAAATATTACTTTCACTAAGGGGGTGTTCGGAATTGCTTATAAAAATAACTTATTGACTTATTCCGGTGTGACCGTAAACAACTTATACCGATGTCAAACTGTTAATA